AGTCTTCTGGTTCAGTTTCCTCTGAAAGAGAAATTTCATGCACAAGAAAAATGTTTAGAAGCTGAAATCACAAGAAGGCCAATCACAAGAAGGCCAATAACAGATCTACATCAAAATGACTATTGCTCCAAGAGGGATTGATAAAAATAATACATTTCATTAAGTGACTCAATTCCTTTCATCTTCTCTCAGAAAGGCAGCAAACTGAATCTGGTCAAGCTATGAAGCTTTCTTATCTCTTTATACTCACTGTTTACTCACTGCCATCCCTCTCCTTACCTGAACTCTTCTCCCTTTTCCATGCAACACTCGGCCAAAGTCCCTTGACCCAGAGCTTTCAAATTCTTGAGCAGTTTTGCATATTTCTTTGCTGCAGGCAGAAGCTTACACTGAACTCTTGCTTCCAGTGATTTCAATATCTGCTGCAATCACACCAATCAGTTTCGGTGACTTTTAACCCAACAGGGACAATAGCGACTGCTTAAATGGTGACACTTAAACTGCCATAAATGTGTTTCAGGGTAAATAACTTATTTAAATATGTCCACTCAAAACTCCTCGAGCTACTGCCTCAAGTTCCTGAAAGGCAGAGGGAGAGAAAACTGGTTATATTGTGTTCCTATTTAGGAGGTTAATTTCACAAGCAGAAAGTTTAGAAGCATGATGGGTCGGACAAAGTAAGTTTAGGTTTTGTCAGTATTTAGCAGCTTTGGCCAAGGTTGTAGGTGTCAGTGAAGTGATCCATGAGTTTGCATCCACTGTGCATTAATCTGAGCAAGAGAGAAACAGGTAAGGAGTTGTGTCAGTTTGTGGTCCAGGCTCAGGTATAAAGCCTACAAAAAAGGTTGGGGGAAGAGGAATTTTTTTTATTTTTTATTTTCAGTTTCTCAAAATCATTTATGTTGCTATGAGTCACACACACTTTCTTCTGATGTTGTCGATTGAGCTACAGGTCACAGATTTGTGTTTAGCCCAGCTGGTGGCACATGTAGATTGTCGTGCGTCTGATGGCAGTTAGGCAGCCTATGTAAAAATGCATGGATGGTCTCAGCCAAGTTTTAATTAGGCAGCTGTCCTCATTATGGAACAAGTTTAGCAATTTGCTATAACAGGCAATTCCAGTTGCAGCGTGAAGGATAAAATAGACTGGTGTGTTAACTGCTGGCTCACCCTACAAAAGAGCACCCCACGGGCAGGGCTGTGATGAATGGAGCTTGGGGACGAGTTGTACTGATGATGCTCAGGTCTATTCTTGCTTTGTGGCCCAAGGAGTTTGGTTTCCCCAAGCTCTGGTCCATCTGGCAACTAAGCTTCTTGTCCTGTGATAGTTTTCATCTTTCTCCTCCACAACTGCCTAATTTTGGGTTCCCTACCTTTCCTTCAGCTACAGTTTTGGCACCGATGGGCTTCTGTTTGTCTTTCCTGGGTTTTAAACACCGTATCTACTTTAACCACTTAGTAATATTTCTTTTTTGAAGAACTGTTATTTCAACAGGCTGAAACATATTTGAAGACTCCTGGATATTACATGTTAAAAGCTATAGATTGCTTCCATGGGCAGGGATCTGACACTCTAGCTTTTGTCTAAGACCAGTACCAGTGAGAATGCAGGATGAAATTTCATAAAACATCTGCTTTTAATTATGAACACGTGGCACTTATTCAACAGGATCAATATTTTGGGGTACTCCTGATCTTGGAGGTGGTGAAAGGCAATGATTGATTAGACCAGAAGTCTTCAACCATTTTTAACTTGCAAATCTCCCCCTTTTACAGCTCCAGTTACCAGTGGGGCTGCATATGTCCTGTGAATTTTATCCTACTTGCAGTAAATTTGTCTTTCTTTCCTGTCTTACATGAATGCCACAGAAGTTATCCATGGGTGTGTAGGTATTGCTGGGCTATGGTTTGAAAACCATGAGATTACTCAAGCTGCAGCACCCATGCCTGTGTAAATCAGTCCTAGGATGCTCTTCTGCACAGCAAGACAAGGTTTTGTGTCCCAAATCAGTCCATATTTCACTTAGAGAAGTAGTGCCTTGTAAGCCTTGCAGCCTGGCAGCACCAGAGTACCTGCCAATGTTTTAAAAGTCTTTCCATGAAGAATATTTGCAGAATGGGTTTATTGGTTTAAATAGCTGTGTGGCCCGCAAGTTTGTCAGGTTAAAAATGCAATAGGAAACCACCGTCAACACTGCACCACCAGCTGAGGAGGATCTGGAGACACTCCGTCGAACGGTCAAGAAGAAATTCACTTTAAATACACCTTGGACTGCTGCCTAGAAGGAGGGAGGGATGCAGTAGCTGAGGTTTACATTACAAGCTCTGTTTCTACCAATAAACCAGAGCGGACAGACGTGTCCATCTGCACTGTTTCAGGGCACTGCACTTAAAAGTGACTTTTTCCTTTTGCTAGATGTTGGCTGCTCCTCTTGGCATCGGTGGCAAAAATGCCTCTAATTCAGCTGGAGCATGCTGGGGCCCTTGGAGAATACTTATGGCAATGCATGCATGTATGGTCTGCAATAGAATCGAAAGACACAAAAATCAGTCTTTATTTCCTCATGTATAAGCTAATGGCTCACGTGGAAGATTAAAATCCACCAACTGAACCTCAGCTGCATTCAGTGGAATCACAAGTTGCTTAGGAGAAAGATGGAGCTGCAGGATGAAACGTAAATATTTAGCAGAAGCAATGACACAACACATGTCTAAACATGACCAACAATTTTAAAGTTCAGGATTTAAGGAAAGAAGATTTCCAAACATATGACTATAAAGACGGGAATTTTAGGGAGCCATTTCTTCAGCATGCCTAGCAATTATGATAAAAACAGTAATTCTGACCGTAAAGCAGTCATTTAAATAGAAGTCCAGGGATAAACTCTTGTATCTCTACAGGAAAGCAGTCCTCTCTTCAACCCTCATCCCCATGTCCTCTGTGCTGTTACCAACTCTGGAACTCACCTGACTCAGCTGAGACAATTCAACTCAGTACAGTAAAAAAATATTCACTTTCTGATGGATTTCTTTCTTACGTTGTAATGTGTTGAATTGGATCAGCATAAGGGCTGAACAATAATATGGGTAGGTTCTTGGAAAAGAGAGAATTGACATTAGCTATGGGACCAGGTCCTTGTATTTTGGAGCTGTGAGTTCTACCTAGTCCAAGCCAACAGCTCTTCTTTCTCCCTTGTGTCTATTATCTTTAATCCCTCTTTTGCTCTTGGCATCATGCCCTTATATCTTCTTGTTCTCTACTTTTTAACCTTGCTTTCCCTCTATGTCACTACGGTCTTCAAAAAGGATTGTTCGTCACCACTTTTATTAGCAGAAAGAAAAACAGAGGAAGACCACAAGAATGGAGGAAACCACAGAATAAATATCAATTGAACTTCACCATGAGCACTCCTTTTGATCCACAGCAAAAATAAATAAATGCTTCCATATCAGCTGGTAAGGAGAGGTGAACAATTCTGCTAAGTACTGATGATTTGTTGTCTAGAATATTGTTCTTTTCATTTTATGTCTTGCAGAAGCAATGACAACATGTCTGAAAATGTCATTACTACTAAACATTAAAGAAGATTCAGAGATTTTTTCTTCCCTCTCCTCAACTCATCTATTTTAATTGTAGATATTCTCATCAACACGCAAATATAATCGTAGCTCCTGACACATATGCGTGGAATAGCACCTGATGTCTGTTCTCAGTATTACTGGTTGTAACTAAACGTGACAGAGCCTTGCCCAATGGTTATTTCACAGAACTGATAGTTTAGCTGCTCAGCCAGCTTTGTTTAAAAGGAACGAGAGGCAGCGCAAAATCAACATTTGGTAGCTATGGTATGTATAAACATCATGTTGACCTGACTTCAGGACAAGTGCTAATTTTTTTCTCCTATGATTAAGGAAACCTCTTCACTGGAGAACACCCTGGCCGGTGCAGATCGGGCTGCAAGTCCACGTGTTTGAGCAGCTCCCTGCATCTCCCCCACCATCTGCTCCTGTCCTCAGATCACCCTCTTTGACGTACTGGCCCAGCTGCCCTGTGGCCGTGTTCACAGCTCACTAATTGCTCTAGCTGAGAAATAACCACGGGACAGCACAGACAGATGCCAGCACAGCGCGGGGCGGCAGGCGGGAAGTGCAGCGATGGGGAACGGGCTCTTGATGGTGGCTGAAGCGAAGCCACGGGCTCGCAGCATGCCGCACAGCAAGTGTAAATCAAGCAAAACACAGGTTGCTGCCTCTTCATCCTGCTTGGCAGGGGACTAGCAGCCCTGGGACCAGGTTGTCGGCTGGGTGAGGATGATCCAGACTCGATTTTATTTGTGAGGTTCCCTCCTCTCTTTGCAGCTGGCTCTGATGCCTGTTGTGTCCTCCATTGGCAGCCCAGCAGAGAGCCAGTGCAGGCATCTCCCCCTCCTCAATCTGAAATAATTTGGATTAGCAAACTGAATCAGCCAGGGCTGGTCAAGCTGTTGGGGTGGTGACCAGGGGAAGAGGGGCGACACTTGCCATTTGTGGCAGCAGTGAAATCTGGACTGTAAAGCTTTCCTGAAACCCCAGACTCAGGCCAGGCACCCTGGGTAGCTTGTAGGGGGGTGATAAAAACCTTGTGAAATCGTGATGTCCGTGCTACATGAACTACTGGAGCGAGTTCAGAGGAGGGCTAGTGAGATGATGAGAGGACCGGAGCACCTGTCATACCAGCATAGGCTGAAAGAATCTGGCCTGTTTAGCCTGGAAATGAGGAGACTGAGGGGAGACTTCATCAATGTGTATAAGCATCTGAGGGGAGGGTATCCAGAGGATGGAGCCGGTCTCCTTTCACTTGTGCCCAGTGACAGGATGGGAAGCAACGGGCACAAAGTGAAGCACAAGAGGTTCCAGCTCAGTATGAGGGGACACTTTGCTGTGAGGGTGACAGAGCAGGCTCCGAGGAGCACCTCCACACCGAGCCGAGGAGCTGCGCACCTGCAGCGCCCGCCTCGCCCCCTCAGCGGGCAGGGCCGGCCGGTGGCCGCCGCCTCCCTCCCGCCCCCTCAGCCCCCAGCCCCGGCGGCCATAAGAGGCGGCGGCGGCGGGGCCGGGCCGGCAGCGGCGGGGCGGCCGCCATGAAGTCGCCTCAGGCGCAGCGCCCGGCGAGCCACGGTAGGGTGGCGGGGGGCCGCCAGGTCTACCCTCGCGGCACGGGGGGCCGCCAGGTCTACCCTCGCAGCGCGGGGGTGCTCGGCGGCTCCTTCACCCGCTTCGTTCTGTCTTTCTCCCTTCCTTCAGGCTCCGGCCGTCGCCCCGCGGAGCTGCCGGAGGAGGAGGAGGGCGACTTGGCGGAGGCGCTGGGCGAGTTCGAGGCGGTGCTGGAGGATTTCGCCTGCCCCGCCGGCCGGCGCCGCTTCCATTACGGCGAGCACCTGGAGCGCATGAAGCGGCGGAGCAGCGCCAGCACCAGCGACCTCAGCGACTCGGAGAGTGAGTGACGGGGACGGGGAGACCCCGAGGGTGGCTGCCTGACCCTGCCCGGGCATCCCCACTTCTGGGGGGCACGGGGGTTTATCCCTTGTGGCTTGTTTTAGGGGAGGAGCGCAGGGTGTTGGTGAGCCCAGGGTTGCCTCCCCCAGTGTCGCAGGGATCTGTTTGTTGCATGTCAGGTAAAGGAAAAAAGTGGTTCTAGAGGAAATAAGGCTGGAAAACTTGGTGTCTTCACACCAAGTCAAGCTGCCAGCTGGTAAAACATTGAGGTATCTTCTAGCCTTACGATAGAAAAAAGGTGTTCCTAAGTAAAATAGGAACCAATGGGGCTGTTCAGTTGCATCTTAGTAGCCTGAACATCAGTGGGATGAGCAGGAACTGAAGTACGCTTTCCAGAAGAGACTGAAACAAATCCAGGCTTCTGGCTTGGTGAGCAGAGCTGTTCTCACTCTTCTGGATGTGATAATCTCAGGCAACTCACATCTGAGCATACTTGGCATGCACAAACAGCATGCAGAGAGCTTGGAACAGGAAAGGTGGGAAGAGGGTATCGACTGGTGACCTTCTCTGAGCAAGAAAAATCTACAGTGGGAGCTAAGTTCTTATTCTAGCAAACTAGAAAAGTCTTACCCCTCTCAAATTCACTAGTCAGGGAGAGAATATCTTCCCTGTGCTCCTTGGCAGTGATAGAATCAAGTGCTGCTCTGTCAGAGGTAAGTTCTGTTTAAAAACAAGCTATCCCCACTTTTTTTTAGTTCCTAAACTGTTTCATTCATGCTTATCTTCATCAGACTTCCTTTGTTTGTCAGTTACTTGCAATAAAATTGTTCCTTTCTGCTGTGCATCTTTTCAGTGTGCATCTTTGACTTCCTAGAGGATAAACTCTGACAGCACAGCTTCTCAAACTTATCAGAGCTGTTTATTTCATCAAGGGGTAGGACTGATTTCATTTCAGTCACGGGCAGTTTTTTAACTGCCCCGAACTTGGATTCCTTGCCTAGCCATGTCTTTGGATTTTGTTTGTAGTCAGTGGAGACGTGTGGATCAGGATGTTAATCCATTGCTGCTTCATAATGGAGCGGGTGAATTATTCCTTGCAAGTAAGTATTCTTCTCTCCTGCTGAGGGAGATTTAGGAATGTATGCCTGATCTAGGTCAAACACCATCCTTTTATATGGCTGAGGGTGTATAAGCTGAGGCCTGCCTTCAGTGAATCAAACTGGAGTATGGGAGCATTTCTGTAAATTCAGGTCTGTTATTAATAGCAATAGTACAGCCCTAGTATTACAATTTCTTGTGCAGTCTTTCAGTGTTATAATTTCTTATCCTCTTGTATACTCTTATGGAAAATAAGAAGCACATAAATCAATAGCCATTATCCAGTGTTGGGAAAGTGAAGAAAGAAAACAAAACAGTATCAAGAACTTAAGCTCTATCCATGCAAAAAGGGTGCTTGTAGTTGCTTGGCATATCTGCTGTGGTTCTGTAAACTTGCATCTTGAACAGTGCTTAAAATTGCTGTTAGGATTGGAAGGAAGGGCGTTTTAGGGAAGGTATTCGTCTGACAGGGCAGAAGACCTCATGAGAGACCACATACTCATGCAAATTGGCAGACAAGATCTTCAGGAAGGTCTGGAAAATGGTGTCATAAAGCTTAATTGATTTAGACAGAATAACATTAATGGGGTAGCCTGATAGATGGGGTTGAGGACTTGGTGCAGAGCCATCAGGGATCCTGAGTTAGAAACATGTCAAGCATCCCAGTGACAACCTGTACTGGGGTTCCTCCCTTACTCATGTGTGATGTGGAGGGTGGTTCTGCACAAACTGGAAGTCACTGACTTGTTGATGCTGGCATACACTGAGCCAGGAGGTGCACTAAGAGACCTGTTGGGGTCCAGCTGTCTCCAGCATATGAGGATATGTTTAAGGGGAAAAAACAAAACAAAAAAGCCATTCTTTTTCTTTTCTCGGAAAAGGCCCAGTAAGACGCTTTTTTTCCTAAAGGCATCATTCCATGCAGACAACTTGTTTTGGAGCTGTAGTAGGATCGGAGAGGGAATGCAGACTTATGAAGAGCTCCTTTTATAAAACAGGCTCCAGTGGCTGATGTAATCCAGCTACACTCCCTATGTCCATTTTAAGAATAGGTATAGGGAGTTTTCTATTTATCTTTCTGTTCAAACTCAAGTTTTTTTCCTTTGGTCTCTATCCTTTAGGGCAAGTAGTGCTGAATAGCTGACCTCACTATTCCCGTGGTAACACTTGAGTTAAACTTCACTATAGGATCAAGGGAAAAACTGGGCTGAAAGATCAAGCTATTGAAACACAAATCTGCAACAACACAGAAGTGCCAACAATATTCTCTGTAGGTAGTTTGAGTTATGATCTTGTTCATGGAGGCTCTTTCGATCTTTGCAGAACTCTGTTATCTGACACTGTAAGCTATTCCAAGTACACTTTGTAATGTATTTACAGAACAGTTCAGACTGTCATATTTTAGTACTATACCTTGTTAGAGTAATCTAATCATCTTAACTGATGTATGCCTAGCATTCAACCACTCCACGTATCTTTCTGCCACTCCTGTGGTGATACCTTTGATTCTAGGGTGGGACTGTAAGGGGAGGTAATGTTTAAACTCTCTATTTCAGGGCATCTGAATCAATCTTAAATTTAACTTTCCTAGAAGCTAGTGGCTGATATAAAACAGCATTATGACCATTTGATAGTAGGGTAAGGAAAGCATTTCCTGAGGCTTACACTGTGAGGATGTCTATTTGATTTAAACAGAAGTATTTATAAAAGGTCTTTATTATTACAGCTAAGTTTGCAAATACTATGCAGCTTTTGTTCTTTTTGTTAGAACCTTATGTTCTTCTTAAGGAAGCTGGCACCAAAAATACTAATTGAAATTCTTACATTACGTATTTCAGCATCTTAAGGACAGGAAAAAAAAATTGAAGACTACGTTGGAAAATGGACTTGATAGGATGAGATGTGGGAGAGCCAAGCACTGTTAACTTGACTGAATGATCTCTGGATGAGGTCTGCCTTGGCTGTGGTTAAGTATTGTACATAACACAACAGACTCTAGATCTTACAGTAATAAGTGTTAGCATGTGCAGATGTTCACGATGAGCTTAGTGCTTGGCCCACAAGCATTACATTAACCACAACAGCTGATGGGGTCAGTGCTGGAAATCATGATGCAATTGGGGATTTAGTCCAATGCTCATTCTTGAGTGAATACCAATTCTGTTTCAACTTGATGTATTCAACTGAATCAAAGTGTAACAGCTTCATGCTTTGGGTTGTTGATTATGCTGAAACTTCTGAGCTAAAGGACACCTTTTGCTATTTACTGCCTGTGTTGGTTGTGATAAAATAGGATTTGTGTTAGAGAGTGCTGTTTTGTCAAAAATCCACTAGTGTAAATGCAACAACACTGTCAAATTTACAGAGAATTTGCTACTCGTGTGTTGGAATAAGCCTAGGACTCAGGGGAATGGCATGAAGCTGCTTCAGGGGGAGGTCAGGCTGCATATTAGAAGGTTTTTCACTGAGAGGGTGGTTGGGCATGGGACCGTCTCCCTAGGGCAGTGGTCACAGCACCAAGCTGCTGGAGTTCAAGAAGTGTTTGGACAACTCTCAGACACATGGTCTGATTTTTACTGCATGTCTACTCAACTCATTTTGCTTAACAAAACACAGCAGTGTCAGGACACTCAAGTTTAGGCTTGGGATAATGAACCAAAAGTGAGACTTGATGAGAGGCTGAGAAGGGAAGCACTCTAGCATTTCTTGCACCAAAGTTATAATAATACCTAGAGGCTAAACCATAATTTGGTGTTGTACACTCTGAAATGGTTTGATCTTTAGCTACAGATGCATCTTCTTTCTGAAACAGGTTCAGTTTCCAGTCTGCCTATTAAAAAGCATCACAAAATAAAATGCATCAATTCTTTTCTTTTGCTGATAAAGCCTGCAGCACATCTTCTTAGTCACTTGTAGGAGAATGCAAATGCTTTCTGACAAACACCTCCTGGCTTTTAAACTCCTCAACTGACCATGAGGACAGCTACAACTCTGTGTGCTGGAACAATGCCTCTGCTATCTAGAGCAGAAGCATCAGCCACTGTTAATACTGCAGCACTCACCCTCAAAAGCAAGCTTATATCTGCACCTTTTCTACATCTTGTAATACAAAGACATCAGAAATGACTAAAGAGATGAAATAGTTTCCAAATGACTCACTAGACTGAAGTGTCAGCCTAGAGATGACTCGGCTTGGGTGGGGACAAGCTTGTCTTCCAGAACACCATGAGTGACAGTAGAAAAGTGGCTGCTACCTCGCCCAGTCTGAAAAAAAAATAAAAATCAAAGCAGCACGCTTCATATAAGAGCTCTTTCTTTGCATGGTGTGTAGTTAAACTATAAACCATATGCCTTAAGGTGTCATGGATGTTAAAAGCTTACATAATCAAAATAACTAGATAAATACACGGGATGGGGGAGGTACATCCTCAAGGGACTATTTTATGCTAAGAAGTTACTGGTCACTTAGAAAATATGTTGATTTGTGCATCGTTAGAACCTGGTGGAGTTGCTTTAAATTATCTGTTTGCACCTGCTCCACTCAAACTCTTGTAGGCATCTGCTGTGAGAAACAGGAAGCAGAGTAGACAAGCCTTTGGTTGTGGTGACCAGTCCCAATCTTGCACGATCAAGAGGAGAACATTTCTAGGAGTTGGATTGCCTGTGCAGATTCCTAATGGCCTGTCTCTAAGATGAATGTGATACAATATTTATAAAGGGGAAAAAAAAGAGAAGACTTCATTTTATGAGAACTTTTTATTAATTCACCTGAAAAATACTGTTTTATTAAATTACTAAGACATTTAAGGAGAAGAAAACCCAGGGGTCTCAGGTATGTAAGCTTCTTCAATGTAAGAAGTGTGCTTTTTGGTAAGATTTTCATTTTTTTTCATTTTTGCCTCTCCAGCATGCTTGTTGCTCTACTGCCTCGTGAGTAGTAAGCATGATGGGTGTGTGGGGTGGCAAATTCTCTGTATAATGAGGCTGTACTTGCACATCTGAATTTGTCTTCCTAGATTGCTTCCTCATAACTTGTAAACATGTGACTTGAAGTCTTTTAAATCATTAAGCCTAGACATGTAAATAATAAGTGTGAGATTTTTTGGGGTCACCATTGGAACAGATGGCTAGGCAAAAGACAGTGAACAATGCTGTGAAATGTGACTGTGATTGTGATCAAAATAAACCCAATCCTTGAGGGCTGCAGCATATGGACCACAGAGCTCGTTTCGCAATGCATGTTCCTCACTCCAGCTAGTGGCATTAGAAATTCCAGACTTTATTTTTATTTTCTTAGCAAGTAGCCTCTGTTCTGCCTGGCACTGAGTCATGCACTCTGTTCATTAAATGCTGACTATCAGTACACAGTGAACTCACGATCTGTGAACACTTAAGTGGAATTGTAAAACTCCTCTGAAAACTTGAGGGGAGTTTTCTTAAACTCTCCTTAGTGAAAATTACAGCAAAAATCTTACTGACTTGGTGTTTCTTAAAACTGTATCCCGATCTATGGTACTAGAAAGAACATACCATTAGGTCAGACAGCTGAACTTTTCCATTGTCTGTTTTAAAATGAAAAGTTTGAGGTTTTCCTCCTTCAGTTAATTACTGTCCAGAACCTTTCAATTGTTCGCTTTCTGTAAATATAGCATGTTCCCATGGTATTGCAGTGTTGTTTTTTGTGGTTTATCTATATATTGGAACAGCAAAGGGCAATACTAACTACATATTGCACTGCCAAAGTAAAACACACCCGTATTTATTTCAAACCCATAATTTTGCAGCTATTGGCTTAGTTGAACTCGTGTAAATCAGCTCAGTAGCTTAGCTATCAGAATTTAAGGTCTCTTCTTAAAGAGACAATGTTATAGCACTGGTTTTTCTTAGAAACTGCCCCCTTTGGCTTTTTTTATGTGCACACAGGCATGAGAACCAAAATGCAAAACCCCAGGAAAAGAAGCAATGACTGCAGGAAACCCACATCGCAGTGGGAGAGCAGGGGCTGGATGAGGAAGGACAGCAGCAAGAGATCCTTGGCATCAGCCTCCAGCTATTAGGTTGCAGGGGAGGTTGTATCTGCATGGCAGTGGAAATCTTCCAAAGCCCCTTTTTTGAAGGCAAATGAACTAGTCTTGGCTGTGGTAGCTGGTAGAGAACAAGGACTGAAATACCCTTTTCCCAGAGCTTTCTGCCCTGGAGCCACGCTTGCCAGACTTGGTATTTTTGTGCAGTGAATACTGTAAGAACTCTTTAACAGCGCATTGCTTCCAGGTTTTTATAATAAACCTGATAGCTGGGCTTTATTCCTCCCATCACCAAAACTTCTGCTGCTTGTTGGCAAGTGTAAGCTAAAGTCAGTACCTAAAATCTTTGGTTTTTGAGAGATATAGGGATTTTTTTTTTTCTTGAAACAACAGATAATATTAAAACCCATCAAAAGGTAGCTCTGTCTTGTAAAAACCTTTCATCTCTTGTAATTTTTCCAGCACTGGAAGGAAGACACTTAAATATTTAAAGCAATGCTTCTGTCTTCTTTACGACAAGGCAAAGAGAAAATATTTCCCAGGTTTGCGGAAACAAGCATGAAATAATATTTCCTGGTTTGATGTGTTGTTGTGAAGTGGGTGGTCAGTACTTTCAAGTAGAAGGGCTGTGGAGAAAGCTACAAAAAGAATCAAGGGTGACTGCTAATTCAGGTGTGTGAATGGATGTGAGTAAGATTTGTATCACAGAATCATCTAGGTTGGAAGAGCCCTCCAAGATCACCGAGTCCAACCTCTGACCTAACACTAACAGTCCCCACTAAACCATATCACTGAGCTCTACATCTAAACGTCTTTTAAAGACCTCGAGGGTTGGTGACTCCACCACTTCCCTGGGCAGCCCATTCCAATGCCGCACAACCCTATCAGTAAAGAAGCTCTTCCTAATTTCCAACCTAAACCTCCCCTGGCGCAACTTTAAGTGGCTGATTAACCTTTTTTAAGGTGAATTGCCTTCAAGTATTCACAAAACGAATGCTTTTATTCCAGCTATATGTAAGAGCAACTGGAGCTTTGGATGGGGTGCATGAGGTTTGTGATACAGATTCCCAGGATCACTACATCTGGTGTCTGGATGCTAGCAGCACAGGCTGCACATTAAAAGCATACTCAGCTTTCTAGCCAGTGTTCTCTGGATTATTTCTTATTAATTCACGTAACTCTAAAGCCTTTAAAGTACTAAATTACTTGAAAGCTCATGTTCTGCTTTTCCCAACTGTGCTACCTCAGACATATGTTTCAACTTCTGTCTGTTCTTTCAGTGTGGTGTTCTCTTGGCTTCTGCCCTGTTTATGTGAGGTGTTATTTGGCTTTTTCATAATGGTAGGGGTTTTGTCCTGATCAGTTAAAACTTTCCATTCTCAGTCCCTTGTTCACTGGGGTTTGCATCTTGGCTACAAAGATGTGGTTTTAGTTGAAAGCTGCTCCATGAGCTGAGTTCAGGAATAAATTTGTCATACCTTTAACTATTACTTTAAGACCACTAATATGCTAGGATTTGTGTTCATTGTATGGTGCTGGTCAGATAATGTTGCAGAGCAGTGTTGGCTCTTCTCTCCTCCCTTAGATTTGTTAGGTTTTGATCTTTTTAGGAGCTGCTTCTAAAAGATACTTCTTTAAATTCCTGTTTTCAAAACCTTCTTGTAGTTCTGCTTTGTATTCCCCAAATCTGTCTGAAATTTCTGAGTAGGTTGGGTTTGATCTGCTCAGGCTTAGAGAGGCCAACAAACACTTAAGAGTGAAGATATTTCACAATGAAAACCCAGTGTGAAGAAGCACCCTGCTTGTTCTGAGCAAGAAATACCAGCCAACAGCTGATCTGGCCAAGCAGAGTTCCCAGGCATCAATGTCACCTCACTGCTCAGTTTGCACGTGGGTAGCATGGGCATTTACTGGAGCAGGAGCTGAGCTGATTGCAGAGGGCACTGCGCAAGGTCTGGTACTGCGATGGGTCAGCATACATGAAAGAGGGAAATCCTCCAGGGTGAAGCTTCTCACAGACCTTGGCAAGGAGAGCTCTGGTCCTGCTGCGTCTCGCTAACTCAGTGTGGCTATCTTCATTTAACCAGGGCAGTCATCTCCTGGCATAGCAAACGGGACAGATGTCCAAAAAATGTGACAATTCACACTTGGATGGCCCTGGTGGTGCAGTGTAACCGCCTCTTGGCCAGGGCTCTAAAGACAAATGCGACAAGTGCTGCAGGTAGGCAAATCACTGGCTTCAGTGGCAATCACTGTGTAATGACATAAATTTATATGCTAGGAAATGTGCCAAATAGAGACCACTGCCACAGTCACATCACAATGACTTTGTTCTTTTGGTAGAGCTACAATTTTCAGATCAATTTTCAGCTCAAAACTGCAGTAACTACCAGTTCTGGTCTCTAACACAAAGGCAATTCCTCCTTCCAGTGAAAACATGACTAATACTTTGCGTGAGCTGCACGCATCAAGAGGGAAGATAGCAATTGGTATTTGTGAAGCTTTAGGACTGCCCTGAAATCCAGGAACATCAGAATGATACTGGAACCTTTCCCATTGCTTTCCATGGCACGTAAAGCTTCATTTAAAAGACCAGCTAAAATAAGATTGCAGACATCTTGTGTATAGATTAGCTGCTTCATGAACTCAAGAGTCGAGCAGGAAGGCATTTCTGTTCTGAACTGGGCACTGCTTTTGCTGTGTGTCATTGCCACAGCAATGGCAAGCTGTGTAATTATGCTTTATGTAACAGTACTTCTGAGGGACTCTTCTTGTCATAGAGCTCTTAATTTAGATTTTTAAATAGCTTTCGAAAACTTCAAGTAACTGAAATCTCCCAAGATATTGTAAATCCTACAGGCTGTACTGTGTTTAACTTGGTGGATGTGGGATAACTGCAGTTCCTGTAATATTTCCTGGCTGATGCTGACTGCAGGGAAAGCTGACAAATTGGGCCTGGGACTATGAGCTGTTTAACAGTAGGTGTGGGAACAACTTTCAAACAATACATAATTGATTCATCTCTCTGGCATTAAAGTCTGTAGACTTGAGTTTTACAGACTCTGGAGCCTGTATCAGAAACATCCAATTTCTCTCTTTAATTCTATTGCAAAATTTAAGCAGGTGGTGTTCTTAACTTGCATTGTCACTTCTTAACAGGTGCAGACTCGCTCTACAGGAACAGTCTTAGCCTCAGCGATGAAAAGCTTAACTCTCCAACTGCGTCTACTCCAAGTTTACCATCTCCATCAGTAACTCCATGTAAAGGTAAGCTTAACACTAATTGTTGACACTTCTGAATTCTCAGCTTATATAGGGTTCTTCCTTTGGGCAAGCATTTGCACAAATGCATGGACTCTTGGTTTTGAATGACCACAGAACTAAGGATTATGGTTAAGCACACCATGGGTGCAAGTATTATTCTGCTTTTGATCATCAGTTCATCCACACTTCTTCACGTGTTATCCAGCAACTCTTCTGGTCTTGAAACCTAATGAAAGTTAGTTCTTTTGGTTGATCAGAATCTGTGGCACTATTCAAAGAATACTCGCGTCAGAATTAACTGAAGTCTAAATGTTCCAGCTATGTAGAGAAATACTTAGCCAGAATGGAGGGGTGCAGTGTGTGACTTCAGAAACCTTTCAAGTTAAAGTGATTATTCAGATCCATGTAGACCCTGCACTGCTGATTCAACCCAAGCACTAGTAATTCCTTCCTCCTTTGTAGCTGTAGAGTTTCAGAGCAGTTTGTCTTGCAGCTGATCTAACTCACCAGAAGGCTTTTCATACAGGTAACTTAGATTAAGCCTGGACTAGAAATACCAATAAATGTAACAAACATGCATGCACTAAACGGTGCTGTTCTAACTGGTGTTCTCATGCATGCTCAAGAGTTTTTCACTTTCATGTGTTTCATGTGTTGACCAGTCACAAATAAATAAAATGTTCTCTACTGATTACCATGATACCAGGGAAGAGTGAGTCATAGTTAATAAGAAGCAGGGGGTTAAAAAATGTCTCAGTTAAACTGGTACTATTGAGTTAATGCTTTGCCAAGAGTTGCACTAAAGGTCAAGATCTTCCTGATGAGAAGATAGAAATAGGTAGAACCAGCTTGGAATAGACCCCAGAAGTGAAATTCGGAAGCCACTTGACATAAAACTAGATTTGAGCACACCACTGGCTCTATCCAGAGTGGGTTGTTTGAATTTTAAATTTATAATGTGGATCAAGATCAAAGGATCTAGCACCTCAGCCACTGATACTGATGGGACTTAAGAGGATTTGGGCAGGGCTGGGAGCTAGTTGTGTAGGGTTTGGCTAGGGCCACGAAGGCAATATCTGAAAATATACAGTAAGGAAAAATGGAAGAATCCTACAGTAGCAGACATGGCTGAGTTGACCTACAACTTTTTTCCCCCACTTTCTTTTCTCCTTCTAAAGGAAGCTAAAATTTTATATCTATATATTTGGCAAAAGCAAAGTAAACCCCTGTTTAGCCATCTCCCCTGTTTTCTAAGAATGTATCTGGACTGCAGCAACCCAGTTGAACTTACCTGAAAATAATCTGGAGCAGGTTTGATACTGCTGAAAACAATTTTGGGAGTTGTGTGGTTCCACTCGTTTATTTTTGGTCAGATAAGTGTCATCTCTCTAACACTGGCTGTCTCTTCCTAATTTGCAGCAAAGCTTGGAGACACAAAGGAACTGGAAGAATTCATTGCTGATCTTGACAGGACACTAGCAAGTAAGTAGATTTTGAAGACTACTTCTTGCTTGTTGCTGTTGCAGCATGATGAAAGCCAATGTATTGGTGGGTGGGGGAATGACTAGAAATAGTTTTATATAATGTAGCTGTGTTTTAGTTTGCTGGTTTGCATCATTGTGGTTAAGAAGGTAAAATAGACTGAGCTCTGGTCTCTGCCTAAATGTTCAAGACATGCAGTTTAGCTCATGTGACAAAGGCTGCACTCCCATCTGCCTCTGTCCCTATCTAAGGCAGCTGCAGTTCGTATCTTCTTGTCAGACACTGCTTTAAGTCCTTAAAAATGCTAAGATATGAGTTTGTGCTTCTTAGTTATAAGGCTAACTGACTGGAGGAATATCTGTAGGTGAGGAATGCTTCTTATATCACACCTTGCTTTGTGGAAAAAGTTGATATCCCCATTTATTGCCTTAGATTAAATATTAAGCTCCTGTTTGATCTTGTTTTTACCAGGAATGGAATTTAGCAATCATTTCCTGTGTCACTGTCTGGAAATCGTATTTTCCAGTTATTCTACTGGGTTCTCCATTATGATTTGGGGTGGGGAACAAAATCCCCAACACATTCCCCATCCTATATTCTGCCTATTTCTGCCTATTCTTCTACTTCCTGCCCTATTTGTCTGGGGCATGAAAATGTTTTTGTTTTGTGGAACCGACTATAGAACCCAAAACAACAAAACTTCATAGGACTAAACTGAAACAGAAGTATGTTTAAAAAAAAATAACACACAACAAACAAAAACCTATGAACTGAGTTTCTTGTATTCATTAGGTAATTTCCCTTCCCTGTAATTCTTGAAGCTGTGGCCATCTGCCTTGGATTTAACTCAAGACATCTGCCCTTCTGAGCTTCCTACTTCCCTGTTTTCTTACTCTTATCTTGAATAAGAGAAGTGAAACCAGGATTAAGATATTTCTGGTTTCCTGACTTCTGTCCTGGATGCTAACTGTCCTTACCACTTGAACTTAATTGACTGATTGCTTTTCTGTAAAACTTGGGTTTGAAGATTTACATAGAACAAAGAAAAATCCCCAAATCAGCAAGTACTTACTCTGCTGTACCTCACAGAGCAGTGGTGCAGCAAGTCTTAAGGGGCTGCTTGTAGTATATTGGTTTCATTGTCCCCTTGAAAGGCATATCTAAAGCGAGGCCAGGTTTTGCTACCTGCTGTGGTATTTTTACCAGCTAATCAAACCTTTGGTTATCTCAGCAGAGTCTCATTTATAGTGACACTTGTTTTAGTGATATGCTGTCATATGCTGAAGTTCTAGGAAAAGTCTAATTTCCATCTGCTATTTAATGCCACATTTTTGAGTATTATTGTACTTGGATGCTTGAGGTTGCACAGACCTTTGTGCAGATGCCTTTAGAAGCATAAAATTGTTGCCTTAAATTGTTGTATGTTAACCTTTTAGTTCATGTTTTTATTTAAAAAAAAAAAAAAAGGCATAGTTGCTGCCTGTCAGGCAGCTAGCAATCTTATTTAATACAGATTTTACAGCTCTTGTTTTGTATTTCCAGGTATGTGAGATGAATCTCTGGCATTGTTTGCCTATGAATGTCATCTGAAGGATAAGTGACATCAGTCGCTGAAAACTGCTGCCCTCATCTGATAAATTTGTTACCCAAGATACTCATCGTCTGAACATAACCTTTGTAAACTCGTACAAGTATTTAACTGGCAAACATCAGTGTTGTCACTTTGCAGCAGGTGGAAACGTGTAACTTAAGTGTTACAGCTATATTTTGCTTTAAAATATAGCTTAAATTTTAATTTAAAGTTGCTTTTATGAAAATATATTTGTAATTTTATATAGTTGAGAACTTTTAATGCTTTTTTTTTCCATTTATAATATATTTTTGTATACAAATAAACCCTAAACTGGAATCCAGATGTCTGAAACTTTCCTGTGAACTATGAAATGAACAAAAATTAAGCTCTTACTGAAAACAAAATCAAGCTTTAAAATATCTGAGGCTGTATTTCTTGTTAGGTGAAATGTATTTAAGTGGTCTTCATATGGGACTTCATGTTGTTCTCTTCAAATTGATTAAGAGTATTTTGTACTATGTAAAATTAACTCAGTCTGGAAAATAAAATCAGTCAACCTTTTATATTAAGGCAAATCTGAAATAACACTTAGTACAGATTTGAACAATAGCACCTCTTTGAAACCCCATCTAAAAGCTATCTTTAAAATCACACTTCATTTAGTAGTAGGTACTAATGGGGAGGTTAGATATTCAGGCCCAAAAGCTTATGGAGATGCTGTAGCATAAAGAAAAGACTTAAATGTCTGGATGTCTTTGAAACCAGACCCTTGGGTCCAAAACAGTCTTCATCCCTTTAAAAGGACCGTCTGGCCATCAATGTGCTGGAAGAGCGGAAGGTAAAGCTGTGGATTTTTTTGGTGAGGAACCTGATTCTTTCCATATGCATTAAGCACTGGAGATGTCATTGTGAGCTCTCCCCCAGCTGCTGCAGGCATTATGTGCAGCTCTGCTGTCTAAGCTGCTCATGCGATTGCCCTCTAATCCATTCAGGCAAAGTGAGCTGGACTTGTTTAAGCTGCAGGTCTTATTTTGACCCAAGCAGGTTAGCGAGCAGTCACAGAAGTGGTTCAAATATTGTGCTTATTGGATCTGTTATCTTTGTGTGTGGCTGTGCCTGGAGAAGGATGTCTGCACTCATGGCACTGTGACCAGCCCATTGCTCGGGGAGCTGGGAGGATGGATTTGGACTTACCTTTTGCAGCCTGGAGAAAGCATAATCTGCTGCACATTTGAAAACTGGAGCATCACAAGCAGATTCATCTCTGCTTTGTTTTCAAAAACAAATAATAATCAAACTTGGATTATGCTAAATGCTGTATGTGTTTTCCAGTTTTCTTCACTAAATAAGCAAATGAAATTCTGAACTGGATGCCAATCAGTTTGAAACAAGCTTAAGGTGGTTGGTTGTGCTTTTCCTTCTGTCAGACAGCAGGACCATGTGAGATGATGTAGTATCTTCCTGAAGAAGAGAAACTTCCTTCGTGTTTCCTATGGCAAATTCAGGTGATAAATCCTCCCTTGGAATAAAAGGGGAGTGAAATTAGTTTCTGTTGGAAGCTTCAAATGGCAGTTGAGAGTATAAATACAGAAAGCTGGTGATATAATTCAAAAAAAAACAGTGGGGCTTCTTGTTCTAGAAGAACTGTAAAATGTGGGATGCTCTGAGATGGTGAGGAGCTTCTGAATGCTTTGGGCTTTACTCAGAAGCCCCTGCATGGTAGGAAAACCACGCTGAGCAGCTAGATAGGCTTGCTCTGGCAAAGTGAGAGCACTGTGGGCGTACAGTGCTACTGCACTATAAACACGGAGCAGCAAATCCTCCCTTTGGCTGCCTCTGTGAAACTGAGAGGGGAATCTGGCCCTTCTTGCTGGTCCCAGATGTAGAGGGATGTTTTGCTGTGCAAAGCCAGGGAGGGGGATTCTGTGGGCTGCTGTGGGGCTTCCTGAGACCCGGAGAGGGAGAGGCACTGTGCCTTCAAACAAGGCAATGCCTGGGAGAGGAGACAAATACATGCTTTTCAGAAATAATATTAGCATAAGGCATGTTTTTTAAAACTACTTGAGTAGCAGCTGAGGTTTCTCTTTCTCCATTTTTACATTGTTTGGTAGGGTGAGAGCTGGAGTGGTTGTGAGCTGTGGATGCTGCTGTTCTGGAGGCAGGACACCCAAAGTAAGCACGTGTAGGTAGGCCCCGTGTTTCAGAGGAGGACAGCTCAAATGACTGTGGGGTGTGGGAGGGAGATGACTGCTGTTTTTCCTCATTCCTCAAATCATATTGTTTGAGGTATTGGGGCACGAGTGTTCAGCTTTTCCTGTGCACGTTCAGTTGTTGCTTGATGCAGCTCAATGCCTGACTGTAGTCAGTATTGGAAGTTGGATGTTTCCCTTTTTATAAAGTGATACTACTGAGCTAGCACAGCACGTCGGAACAGCACTATTTTATCCTTGTAGATGTAGACACTCAATTTTGAAGATGTATCCTGTGTAAGCAAAGGTTTAAAGCAAGGTATGTTCCTCATCTTGTGTAACATGAAGTCATTTGGGGATGGAGTTGAGGATTAAGTCACCATCTGCTTGTTTTTCTAATCTTATTTATGTGTACACAGGTAGAGAGACTCCTGCTCGCTTGTACAGCAGCTCTAGAGGTCACCAGCTATGAAATCTGGGAGTGTCTTCTGCCAAGCTGTTGGTTTGAGTTCCCTGCAGTTTATTATGCTTTGTTTTGAATGCCTTTGTGTCAAAAAGACAGCGGTAATGTAGATTGGAGTAAACTTATGATTGAAGTTGATCATCTAATTACATACATCACTGAAAAATGCACTGTTGAGAAGTTCTTGTGATGATCAGTCCCCAGTGAGTATTGCTGGAGGCCATCCTGCCTACGTGGGCCAGCCTGACTTTAATCCGTGTTTTGACCTTCTTGAGCTGTGATGCTCAATCTGGACTCAGGAAAAGACTCCAAGCCCTGTCCTGCCAACACCACTCCTCCTGAAACTGAGCTGAGGGCAGGCACCTTGGCAGAGCTTAACATGTGTAAGGTGAGCTGCAGCAACTATTTGCACGTATGCTCTTTACCTGCTGCAAATTCAAGGTTAAATGGATTAGTTTAACCCCCCATCGCTCAGGCTTGAGCTAATGTGCCTTATCTTGAGTTTGCCATTGTGTCCTGGGTGCAGTCACCCAGGCTCAGCTGATACCTGGTAACTCATTAAGCTTGGTGCTCCTTTTCCTGAGCCCTTAATGGGGGGAGAGAAGAGCCAAAGGAGGGATTTTTTTTTTTGTTTTCCCCAATGGTCTTTAACCATTGATGCACCCACAGCCAGGTGAGTTCTTGTGAGGGAGGAGAACAGCCCTGTTGGCTGTGTAGAAGGAAAAGCAGGCTCTGCCTTACAGGGATTGCTTGTAGGGGAAGGGCTCAACCACTGCCTTCTCCTCACCTACTAAGCAGATATCAGTGGTGGAGCACACACTGGGTGTAGGACTGATTTTCAGCAGGGTTGCCCCAGATGAAGGGTCAGAGGGACTGAGAACCCATCTTCACAGATTCAGCTTTATTTAAGCCCATTGTCCGGGAGTTGTTCATTCCTCACCGGAGCCTGTCTTGTGCGAGAAGGTGCACGAATGTGCGAGGCATCACAGCTGCCGGGCTGTTGGAGAGAAACTCCCAACCTCATGGCTTGCCGAGTCTGGAAGCGAAATGAAAATCTTACAGCCAATGTGACAGCAGCAACTCCTGAACCCAGTCCAGCTCTGCAAGCTAACAGCCCAAACTCTGTATCCTCAGTGGGGAAAACTCCTGTTTTCTGTGTTACTTTTACAGCCTTTCTACGTTACTGACTTCATTGCAGCTTGGCCAGCAGTTCTGGCTGTCTAAATAACTTTGCATTAATGTAAGAGGATCCTGGCTGCTATCTCTCACTGGCTTAGAGTTGTAAAACAGATCTTGTCAAGGCCCTTTTCTTACAGATTCTGAGTTATCAGTTAAGTGCTGTTGGGATTAAAGCAGGCCACTTGGTGCAAAGGGCTTTTAGTGCTTCAGTTGGGTTTGCTCTTACATTGATGTTTTGGGAACTAAAGTATTGATCGCTTTCCCTTAAACTGATCAAGCTCTTCTGTTTTCCAACAGCATGCAGAGCTTGCTGGCTCCTCGGGGCGGCCTGGGGATGCTTGAAGTGGGTTGACATTAATTCATGATTAAGCTTAAAGTGAATGTTACCTTCTCCATAGCATGTGGCTGCAGTACAGAGTGCCTTCCTCCAGTTCTGTTTATCATTAATTTCAGATCATAATAAAGAGCCTCACCCTTGTCTCAAAAAAACACAAATGGGTCTTCTGGTGTGCGTGCAGTCTCGGCGTTTCTGAAAAATAAATTTTGCTGGTATGTGAAATGGGGTCAGGACTTAGGCACTTACTGATCGAGGTGTATCACCCCAAAAGTAGCACGATGGCTTGCTTCATGACCTACCTGGGGCACCTGTCCCCTTGGGTGTGCTGGGCAGGAGAACACCTGCAGGTGCAGCACCACGGGACAGCCACGGTGGACAAATCCTGGGGCTGTGGTGTGGGAGCAAAACCCCCGTGAGATGCTGCAGGATGAACCTAGGCGTGCATGTACCTGGGATATGGTTTGGCACGTTCAATTTCCTGGGCTCTCCTGCAGCATCAAGCACCGATCTTGGCAGTTGTGTTGGGCCTGTCCATGCTCACAGATGACTCCTTAAAGCTGTGTATATTTTAATAGCTGTATGCACTTGGGAAACTGATGTGTGAGCAGTAGCTTTGTTTGCCTATGAATTTATAACGTGAAACAGAATGCAGGTTTTTTCTTAGGGGGTTCAGTTCTCATTCTCTAAATGGCATCCCAGCTCATTTATTTCGTTGGCAGCTGGTACAACGTGCTGCTAATACACCGTTGGTTTATTAGGCATTAGCAGCTACACATCAGCTGTCTCAAAGCTCATCAGCAAGCTAAATTAAATGCCACCTTATAGCACAAAGCAAACTTCCCCAGTATGCCTCAGCTCGAACCTAGAGGAAGACGGTGAGAGTTTGGCCCTGGTCCTGTCCAAAGAGAGCTGGTGGCGTTGGGCTGAACTAACATTGACATCGGGTTTAAGGACTCTGAGACCTCATCTCAGAGCTGTCTGCCTGTGCTGCTCGCAGCTCTTCTGCACCTCAAATAATCTCGAAGGAAAGGTCTTGCCCTGGCAAGTGTCCCTGCTACTCCCGAGCCTTCAGCAAACAACATTAAAAGAGCCTGCAAGGTACCTCGTAACACAAAACGCTTCCTATGAGCTCTTCTCTAGCCTCTGCTTTATTTCATAGGCAGCTGATAATCTTTCCTCCAGCGTCCCCTTCTCAAATCGAGCCAAACAGTGAGCATCACAACCCACCCAGCGGCCGGTGCCTCTGCAGAAAGGCAGGAGAAAAGGAGCGAGAGTCAAAGGCTGCAGACTGCCCCCCCACCTCCTTCAGCTCCTCATCAGGACCAACGTCCAGAGTAACAGCATTTACTCCTACACGTTTCCTGAGTGTACATAACAAGCCTTTCAGCTCCTCTGTCCTGGACCCCA